TATATATATATATATATATATATATATATATATATATATATATATATATGCGAGACTTTTTGTTCAAATAAATTCTATTGAACCAACAATGACGAATTAAACGCGATTTGAATGTAGCAATTAAGCGAGATACTTCGTCAATAATCTCTTATCCGATTCTTCGACGAAATATCTACGATCCTGCGCGCGAGTCGTTCCTCCGATTTTCCCTCACCTTTTTTCCTTCAGAGATTCTTACATACATCTGAAATTATCTCTGCAGATCTCCAAAGAATAAAGAGAAGACGAATCGCGAATGCTCATTCCTCAAGCGAGATCTCGCAGTTTTTCGGGGAACCCGGTGTTTCTAACGGAGGAGAGAAAGAAAGAAAGAGATGAAAGTTCGCGTCCACTAAATTTCCGCCGTGTGATTCGTTGGTTCGCGTTTCGGCGTTTCCCTATTTCAAAAGCCGCGAGGGCGAGAGCCGAAGGCTTACGAAAGACAACAGGAGCAACGGCCAACGAACGCGAGTCGTCAGGAATTCGCATTCTCGCGTCGCGGAAAGCGGAAAGACTCGCCGGGGCAGGAGCGTGCTCGTCGCGGCCGGGAGAATTCGTCGGACACGCCGGCTCGGCGAGAAACATGCGCACGTCGCCGTCGGGATGGCGGCGGCGGCGGCGGCGGCGGCGGCGGTGGAGATCGGATGACGTCACAGGCGTAGTAATACACGGGCGCGAACGCATGGCGAGAGCTGAGTTCACCCGCAGAGCTGCTGCGCGAGAGAGACTGGGAACTGCTTTCGATTGTTGGCGGGCGCCGCCATCTTGGTCAGTGAGCTCGCGAGTGGCTGATACGTTTCAAGGAGGAGCGGTGCTTCGTGTTCGTATTTCGGGCGGCCAGGTCGACGTCATATTTCGTGCGCGCGTTTCCCCCCGCGAGCGAGCGTTCCTCAAGAGACAGTCCGCTGAGACCGGCGAAATCCGCGAGCATCCGAGATGTCGGAACGGGAGGACAACGTTTACAAGGCGAAACTGGCCGAGCAAGCGGAGCGCTATGACGGTGAGTGGATATTTCGCCGAGGGCCCCGAGGACGGCCTCGACGACCGGCCGTGTGTCTCGCTGCGTGCATGCGTGCATACATGCATGCATGCATGCCTACGTGCGTGCGTGCGTGCGTGGCCCGCGTGAGATTCGCGTGTACTACGCGTTAACGGGCTCCGCGAGGCCGATCGATCGGCGATCGGCCTCGTCTCGGCGCCTCTTGGCGTCTCCGTCAGGCCGAACGTCCGGCGCTCGGGACGGGCCAACGGGTAACCCTTGTCGCGGAGCAGCGCCATCCGGCCGCCCGCCCGCCCGTCCGTGGCTTGTCAAGTAGCCGAGACTACGAGCCTCGTGAAACGTCAAGCGCCGATCGTTAGCGACGTCCGCGTAGCCGGCGGCCGGACGGACGGACGGACAGACGGACGGACGGATGGATGGCCGCGGGCGTTCCTTTGTGGCGGCGCTGGGCGAAATCGCGATATCGACTCGTGTCACGTTCCCAACGGTTGACTCGCCGTCGAGGCCCGCCCTCGTCCACGAGGCGACACGCTCGGGCCGTCCTCGTCCGCGCGATCCTCGAGGTGCGCCCGTCGCCTGGACATGCTCGGCGCGACGAGCACGCTGCTGAGGTGTGCTCTCGGTTAGGCCGACGGCCGCCTCGCTCCTTCATCGCCTCTGATAAGCGACAAGTCGTTCTTTCATCGACTGTCGCCGTGACGCATTAAGTCTGGTCTATCTCTCTCTCTCTCTCTCTCTCTCTCTCTCTCTCTCTCTCTCTCTCTCTCTCTCTCT